GGTCTCTTTCCACTTGACGTGGGCTGGTAAATTACAGCAGAGTGGTATTTAAACACAAAAAAGTTAAACGTGAGCAAATTAATCTTTTAATTAAAAAAAAAAATCTGTTGCTGCTAACATATAAATATTAAATGCTGATGGTGTTTGGCATATGTAAAGATGAGCAGAAATATCAAAATCCACTCAGTTAATTAGTAAATTTCAAGTCGGTTTGCTTAGTGCAAAACATTAATCTGCTGGGGCACAACCTGCCTTCAGTTGCTTCACAGAGAATGGCTATGCTTACTTTTTAAACCTCTTTATTTTAATTAAAGCAATATATTTCTACTTTTATATTCTCACCAGGATTGTCAGTAAAAATCTTCCCAAACTCTCTCAATTTTCTTGTTGGTGAGGGGAAAAAGAAGCCTTGCTTATAGGCCAGCTGGCCAGCAGTGCAGCAACAGGTTCATTTTATAGGAATTATTAGCAATTTCTGTCACATTTTAAAACCTTGATGCATTTTGATACTGGTAATCCGGCCTTTGCTTGCTGTCATTTCTGCGGGATTCACTTCTGCTTGTTTAAATTTTTTCACACTCAGCAAAGTTGTGTTCTTAATCTATCGCTTAGCCATCTTCACCGTGTTTTTCAGCTGGCTTTGTGCTGCTTAAAAATGAAATGCTTCCAAAATTCTGTTATGCGTTACCAGGTCTGCTTGTACCAACATCTTTTTTTTTTTACTGTAGTTTTCTCGTAACCGGGGGAAACAGGGGTGCTCAACTGGACTTCCGTTATATAAGTGGGACGAGTCGTCCCTGAGGTTGGATGTTTTGGATATTTTTAAATACATTTCTCCTCCGTGTCACTGTGATTTCTGGCCTGATTATTCTCCAGCTGAGAGAACACATGATGACAACATCCAGCTCCACTTCATTTAACACGTGTACTGCTACTTCAAAACATGGGGTGGGGAGGAAGAAAAAGAAAATTAAACATAACAGGATACCAGCAAATAGCAACAGATTCACACCTCCACAGTACTGTAAGTGAATGTATTTTTTTTTATTTTTATTTTTTATTTTTTGAATGGAGAGGCTGGCCAGTTGGTGGGTAGATGAGCGAGTGAAAGGTGAAGAGGTGGTTTGGAGGTGCGAATCATAATCCACGTGGGTGGTGGGAAGCACGGTTAGCTGCGTCACTGTGTTGCATAAGAACATACGTAGGCAGAGGGGATGCGGATCTGAAGTAATGAGCGTGGGGAGCCGTTGGTCCTATCTGGGAGCTCCGATGAGACGAGAGATGGTTATTGTTCGAGCTGTCAGCAGTCCAACCGTGTGTTCTTATAGCAGACTAATCAGAGTTGCTTCGATGGCTGTTTTCCAGAGTGTAGTTGGTGCGTTAGAGTGATTAGCAATCGCGTGATTAAAAAGCTGAATAGGAAATTTAATCTCTGTTTTACCGTATGAACCTAAAGGTATTTTGAGAAAGGGGGGGAAAAAAAAAAAAAAGCACCACTTAATGGTCAGCCTGAACTATAGGAGCGGTTTTCCCTCATTGGTTTTCTGAGATGTCGGAGGATGTTTGAGGTTTGGCTTGAGTGATCCTAAATGAGGATGTCTGTGGAAAATACAAGGATTTTGAGCTATTTAAGATGGAATGTAATGTTTTCCATGTGGGCTGTCAGGCATGCCGGTTTTCCCTGTGGACTGACTTCCCACCCTCTGCCCAGTTTATCTTCTTTCAAATAAATATTTGTATTGTAGCAAGATTTCTGAGCGCTTGTTACGATGTTGCCATACTCTTTGCCACACTTAAACCCAAGCTTAGTATGTAAACATCAAGCGTGCTGTCAATGCTGTCCTTTTTGCTCCACCACTTCCCCTTCCTGGCCTTCATCCGGATGTGGTGGTGCCATGTTTTCACATTGAGTTTGCTAACTTGACCGGAACCGTTGTCACGTGGTTGAACTGTGGAAGAGCAATAAACTTTAAGTGCTGCAAGCTTGGATAGGTGATGAAGTCAGAAATCACCCTATTCCAGAGGGCATATGTCCTCATTTTTAACCCCCCCCCCCCCCAATTGTTTTTTCAGATCGTTATTCACAATATTTTACCAAGGTTGTTATGTACACACAGCTGAACTTGACTTACACTTGTTACCCAAGATGAAAGTCATGATTGTAAAGTCTCAGTGATTAGAAGGAAGTTGGTAGAGAAATTGGTCTGAGTATTGACTTGGAGACCTAGTAAGCCAAGCACCCTATTCAGAGATTTAAGAGCTCTGTGACCAGCCTGGTCTGCTTGTAATTCTCCACAGTGGTAAGTGACAGCTCGTGACAAATTGCAGTTTACATAAAACTCTCTCTGCATTGAGTTAGACGATGCGACTTGCTTCTTTTGTTCTTTCCAACGCCGTTACTCTGATGTGTGTGGGCACATGTTTCTCCCAAATGTCCAGAATAGCACCCTTTATCTGGAAATATTAAGTAGTGAATGGAAGCAGCTGAAAGTCTTGTCTTGCGTAACTATTGTGTTTTACTCAAGGGGTTCAGCTGCACTACAGTATCTGGAGACACTTGAAAATTCTTACTTGAAAACAGTATGAAGTATTTATTCAGGCTATGTTCAATACCAACGTTAATCCGAAAAGCAATAAACAGAAATGTTTGATGGAGCAAATAATTTCTCCAACACTTTTAGGCCAGAAATTAGTATTGACTCCTAAAATGTTGTATATCTCCATTTCATATTTTCTGCTGTCTTTTTTTGTTTGTTTTTTTTGTCATTTGCAGTTCTTTGGTAGAGTGCGCATGCTGGAGCACTGGTAAACCTTTTGCCTCCAGATTAAGCTCTAATCTGTGTCCCATTTCCCTCCGTCTGCCCTCTTGGGATGAGCAGACACAGGTTTTAGACCAAATTCTGTCCTATCCTGATCTCTTACAAGCTTTTGGTTTAGGGCTTAATTGTTGAAAGTCTTCTTGCCACAGCGGTAAAGTGCCGTGTTTCATTCATTTGGTGGCAACTTGACTTTTTTTTTTCTTTTTTTTTGACGTGGAGCAGCATTATGAGCAGGAAACTGAAAGAAAATTCTGATTCTGAATAAGATGAGCCTCTGTTCATAACAGAAGTTAGAAGCTGTGCTCAATGAAATTGAAGGGCAACGTAGTGAGAAGTGTCGAGATGCGTTTATCTACTAAAGTACAGCATGCTCTCACTTTTAAATTACGTTCATAGCTAAAGTAGAATCTCCTTGTTGATCAAAACTTTCAGGTTGACGATGGTTTAACCAATCGTTTAATCATTAAGCGATTTTTAAAGCTCCCGTTTCAAGTAAACGTTCTGCCGCAAGTCCCTCTTTCTCCACTGTTAGACCTTTCATTTTAATAAGGATTATCCCAGTCTGTTCGGAAAAGCAGGTGAGGGGTGTGACCCTCTTAGAGAAAACACCCGTTTCTCCTATGTAAAGCAGCTCGTCAACATTTAAAACAAACGCTTCGGGGCATTGCTTTTCAGGGCGCCGAGTTCATTCTGCCGCTCGGCCCTGTTGGGCAACATTCAGAAAGACGCTCTAAAGCCTTTCTTTCTGTCGAACCACATTACATGTGGGCAGCCACTCTGTCCTCAGCACTTCCATCTGTCTCTTTAACGTACATTTGTGGTGCGTCAGCCACAGATGGAGGAGCTGATGGTCTTAAGTTACACTGTCCCTGTTGGCAGTTGGTAACGTTAGTTTTAGCAAACATCCCCTGATCCTGCTGATAAACAGAACACACACTGACCAGATGCTACCTTCCTCATTCCGTTTCACACGTCTGACAACAGTTTTCTTTTTTTTTTTTTTTTTTAAATCCAAAACAACGGAATAGGGATTAAAACACATTTGTGCTTTTTGAGTGGTATTACAGCAATGTAAGGTTTTATTTTTTGGTTTATAGCAAACTATACTATGCTTGATTATGCAACCTGGAGCTGGGGCAACAAATGCCAACGTATTGGTCAGACTCATTTGAATTTCTTACATTTACAAAAGAAAATAAATAAATAAAACATGTTCTCACTAACTGGCACTGTATGGCCTCAGAAGTATATCGAGGTCAAGAAAACAGTTGTTATAATGGTACTTACGACAACATAGCAAAAAAATGTTAAAGGACATATTTTTTTAATTCAAAAGAATAATAAAAATATGTATAAAACAAATACTCTTTCTGGAACATTTGACTTTATAACGAGGTATGAAATCGAGTATAAGAATAGGCAAAGGGGTAAATTGACTGAGTCATATGAACCAAGATGCCTCCGAACTGGGAAAGGGTTTCAAATTCTTTCAATCAAGTTTTTTGTGTTCTCCTATAAAGGCAAAATTAGAAGGATTGAAAAATACCCCAAAATCAGGCCAAACCCCTGAAAGTTAAAACATCTTCATATTGGTAGCTAAGTAGCTTCGGGGGGCTAATTAACTTCTCCAGCCGTCACCAGGTCCACTCTGAAGTGGGAAACGCAACAGCGATCAGGACATGTTGAATGTGGGTGGGGAACCTGTAGTGTGTGCATTTACGTAATTATCTATACCAGTGCTATCTTGGCACAGCTCTTTTTAATAGCAGCCATATCGGAACAGATTGGCCTCATCTCTTTTAATGAAATGAAACTTAAATATATATATATATATATATTCAAAAGTGAGACAAAGCTGTGTAGAAACACTGAAAAGTTACCTCCAGCTGTTAAACATTTAGACTTTCCACACCAGGCATTTGTTTTGCGAACAGGGTTTTACAGTTTTAGTGTTGGTCTTCACTCGTGCGGACATGGAATTTCCCCCTCAGTCTTAACCTTCCTGCATGTGAAGCGTCTTTTTTTTTTTTTTTACAACTCTGACTCAGATTTTCCTCTTTCTTGCTGACTTCTATAAACACAGTTGTCACATTTCAGGTTTTCCAGCTCTCCACAGCGCTGTTTACCTCACTGCTTTGCTTCTGTTGAGTAATATGCTTATTCTTTTTCGTCTCCCCTCAGTCTGAGAGAACATCGAGGCGAAGGAGAGGGGGGGGGGGAAAAATGAAATTTCTCACCAGTGTGAGTTACCGCCACGCTCACCAGATGTGTACGTGTTCATCGGAGGCCATCAGAAGCTGAAGACAGGTCGTTTTTTTATAAGGTAAGTGCTGACTGCTAGTTAAAATCTGACTTCGCTCTGAACAGATGGTTCCAAAACGGCACTTCAGGACATCTTACTGGCGATGTTTTGGCATGCAGTACTCCTCCTGTGTGACCGTTAACAGATTTCTGCTGCGTGAGTGTGCAGCAGAACGGATCTTAATCAAGCATGGGGGTATTGCTGTAAGTCCAGAGCTCGAGGCGCAAATCTAATCTCTTTGGCACATTATACAGTAAATCAGAACTGTGGTTAAGTCGAGTGCCTGCCAACTCGGAACAGCTACAGCGTGGATTTATGACTGGACTTACTATGGAAGCTTATTTCAATCTCTCTTTATTTGGGTCTGAGACTGATGAACCACTCCGTGACACTGGCTCAGATTTTTTCATTTGTTTTAATCTTGAGGTGTCCATGTAATGCTTTGGGCCTTGGTGGGTTATTATGGAAACAAGCGGTCCGAGAGAGATGGGCCGGTCGGCGCCAGTTTTAGCTGCAGCATCCAATGGGAATGATGTCCCCATGCCTAGACAGGGCAGACGCTGATGGATGGCCTAGCTTTCTGCCAGTTTCTAGTCCCACGTCGGAGCCCTTGTTATGAAAATATGGATGGAAGCAGGCTGATGGGCCGCAGAGAGATGACATCTGCTCCTGTGATGGATGATCACCTGCACTGCATCCACAAGAGATGGAGATGACGCAGAATTGTGGCCAGAGTTCTTAGAAATTTAGCCCCTCCACACTTCCGTTTGGATTGTGCCTGACTCAAAAGTATGCAAATCTCTGATTAAAGAGACATAGTTTTTGAGGTGCAGAGAAATCAGGGGTGTAATTTCGCACAATCTATATGAATCAGAAAAATAATGCATTATGAAAAAAAAAATATATACAGAAAAGATGTCGATTGGAGTGAAAACCCCTAAAAAAAAATCACTGTTGAATCAGTTTTTGATTTAGTTACCTCATTCAGTCTTCAGTTCACAGCTGACATGATGAATTGCTGACATTTGCTCTTCCATATCTTTACACAATCCAGGTTAAAAATAGGTTAAAGTAGATAAAAAGTATATCATTGCACAAATGTATCAGGAAAAGATTAAAAATTAATCCATGTTAACATGTATACAAGAACAGATTAAATGAAAAGTTATAGATTGAAGCTGCAGAAGAAGGCTGACAAGATGCAGGTATACAGCAATGGTGGTTCAGGGATTTCTTACAAAGTCTCATTTTTTTCTGCAGGTGAAATATCCAATCTTCTGTCTTCACCATGTTTAGAGTACTGTTTCAGGGTGGAATCCCTGTTTTATTTGTGACAACAAAATATAAATCGCCAGCTAAGATCCCCTAAAACTTTGTTGAAGAATATGAGATGTCCTGACGAAACCAAACTTGGACATTTAGGCCACATTTCCAAAATGAATAGTTGTCAATGTCATGAAACAAACTTGAGTATTTCTTAAAGAACACCACACACACGGTAAAAACTGGTGACATTTGCCTCATTGACGGGGCTTATACTAGTTGTGAAGGAAGACGACAAACTTTCTGGAGGAACATGTTGGATTTAAGCCAGTTTTTCCATAGTTGAGGGGTTCCCAAAACTGGCATTTCATTAATGAAAGAGCAAAAGGATTCCACCCAGCCACTCTTTTCAAAGAGATTAAATTGAGAATGATTTTTTTTTTTTTCTATTTTTTTCAGTTGCCCTAATGCTCTTCCATAGTATTGTTACCATTCTTCTAAATCCTCAAAATTTCACTTTTCCCTGAATACTGAGAATTTTATGTGACCTTGAGGCCACTAAAGAGAAGTGCAGAATAAGAAAAGCCACGCAATATTTACTTTCCTTTTCTGCCCTGATATGTAAATCTGCTCCCTCAAAGGGGGCTGAGTCACGTTAGCCTCCCCCCCCTTCCCCCCTCCCTCCGGCCTATAAAGAAGTGGTGTTAATGGTAGCATTCACAGAGGTGATTTCTAGCCTGCCTCTTTGTGCCAGCACTGGTGGCCTTGGGCTGGCTGATTGATATTTGTTGTTCTGTATTGAACTCTGGTTTATATCGCTTTAGCTGCAGCTCCATGGGGGCTTTGCTTGTGGCACATTCAGTTCTACGCAGACCTCCCATCGAGACGTCACCGCCAAGAATGACCGTGAACTCCCGCTCCTGCACAGGGCTCAAGGACAAACTTTGTTCCTCCAATGTGACCCATTTCTGGCAGCAGAAATGAGGGACAGATTTGTGTGCAAGTCTGTAGCAGGACCTAGCCTACTTCTTCTACCCTACTTTATCCCCAGTCTTGTTGTTGGAGCTGATCAGAGTTACACACATTACACCGTGTCTTTTTGCTAAATTTGGAGAAGATGCTGGTTTACAAAATGAGGGTGTTTTGAGTGGTGTTTAGCTAAGGCATACAGCTGTTCAGATTTTAGCGACTGAATTTGAAAATGTTTATATTTGTGAGATACAGCCGTATTTGTGGGCATTATTTGCTGCAGTTTTCAAAAGAAATTCTTAATATCTATAGTTAAACTTTTATAACGATTTTTTTTTATTGATGTCACAATAACAAAATTTACAATTAAGTATTTCTGGCTATGCATCTGACAGTGTTTACAGTCGGAGCCCCATAAATGTATAATTAATGAACCGTTTAGTCATTTTAAATTGATAATCACTGAATGTCTCATGAAGTCAGTGGGAAATAAACGGTTCAAATAACAAACTGTCAGTTTTTCCAAGTTCATGAAAAATTTTAATTTTTATCAGTTTCTAGTTGATGGTAGTTTCAGCCACGATTGATAAAATGAAGAGACTGAAAATGAGCCGTTTCCAGTATCTATGATGCGTGTAAGAATGAAGACAAATAAAGCACTGAGATGCAAGGGGGTATTTAAAGAGATATTTCATTCACCACTCTCAACAAAAAGCCTAGGAAGAAATATTTTGAACGCTCTCATATTCTGGTTCTGAAAGAGAAATTGTCTTGCATCAGCTTGAAGGCTTTATCCTTGATGCCTGTATGGTTTTTTATTTTTTTATTTTAAAGAACTGAAAATAGTGAAAAGAGCTCAATAGTTCTTTTACTCAAAGCTGTTTTTCTTTTTTCCACAGCTATTCATTTCTTTCCTTTCTCTTTATTCTCTTGTCCAACAAAGGAAGCTCAGGGCTTTGCTGATGTTTCTTTGGTTAGAGGAAATGGCAGAGGACTGAAGCAGGGAGAAGGAGGTGTATCTGTATCAGGGAGAGGCTGGGCTGTGTTGTGAGGAAGAGGAGGAGGGAACATATGAAAGCTGAGGAAGGGGAGGGGACTGAGCTCTTATTCACATTGGTGGCATTTGTCTTGAGAATGAGCTGGTTCTTTTATTTTTTGGAGGGGGATTTGTAGGTTGTTTTTTTTTTTTTTTTTTTTTTGAGGGAGGGTGGCTTTTAGAAACAGAACATAGCGAGGGAGCGAGCTTACATCTTAGAAACGTTGTGATATAAGCTGGGTTATCAGGAGGAGCTGGTCTGACACCAAAGCAGCCATGCAAGGAACAAACTGGGGTAAGAAACTCTGGGGGTTGGACTGTTGGAGAAATGGATCGTTGCCTTTATTTACTTTTGTAGCAAGAGAGACAGGATGTTTGTACGGCTGGTTCGTTTTTATACTTGTGCAGTTGGTTCGTGGGAATCTTGCAGGTTTATTGCACAAAAAAAAAAGGCTTTTTAAAGTTGTGAGGGAAAAGAAAGCTATGTAAGCGACTCCGATCTTGTATCAGTCTAAAATACAAGCTACTTTTACAAATGAGCTTTTTTAAAATTCAGTTTCAGCTCCTTAGAAACAAACAAAAAAAAAAATCTATTTTATGTCACATTCATATGGAAACCTTTTTGATACTAAAACTAACTTTTTTTTTTTTTTTAGTTAAACTTACTCAACTTGCTGAAAAAAAACAAACTTTTTAAAAGAGTCAGAACTCTTTTCAAGCATTTCTACTTCTGTTTTCTTGTTTTTCTTTATTCGCCGTTTTTAAAATCAACACCAACTTTCAATGGTTTAGTTATTTCCTGTGCGACTGCTGCAAAAATATTTAAGATCAATTTGAGGAAAAAATCCTGGATTTTGGGAAAAAATAAAAATATGAACAACCACAGAAGCCAGTTATCCCAACACTGCATACACCTGCATTACCACTAAACCATGACCATCGTTCCAATCAGCATTGGAGGGAAGAAGTAAAGTCAGAGAGAGACTTCAGCTTGCATGCAAAGCTGCTTTACTGGGAATTTGTGTAGTACTTAAGGTGATACAAGATAAATTTATTCATGTTAAGTGTGGTGAATATGCCTGGAAAAATCAATGACATTGAAAATACAAAGAAGATAAGAAGATAGTTCTGTTGGATACAGAAATATAAAGAGATGCATTAACTGTTGCAGCTTTCCACATAATTTTTCTGCAACAAATGTCAGTAAACATGGTTTTGAAATCCTGCCAGCAGCTAATTGGCGTCAACATCAGCATCGTTAACAGCCTACTTGGGAATATTTACACGTTTCATTGTGGCTGCAGTTTTTGCCAGGTCCGTCTGCGAGGTGTCTGGCTGCAGAAAGCTGGGTTGTCGTCGGAACCAAAATAGCATTGTCACACTTTTGCCCTCTGTTCCACTTTCTGAAGGGAGGGAGAGGAATAAAGAGGTGGGAGAGGGTGGGGGTACAGAGTGAGATTCAGAAGTTTTAAGTGGTAGGAGAGTGGAGGAGGGGATCTCCAGACATGCAGACGTTCCCTGCAGAAAACTTAAGGTGCCCTCTCTTCCGGAAAATGTCCCTCTTGAGGCTCTCGAGAGGTGAAGCCCCTAGTTGAGGGCTGACATTTTCAATTGGGGCACGGTCAACGTCTTACCTGGTGCGAGGCGTATTTTTAGCTTCTGTGGATATGCGTTTATGGTGTGGCGCAAATAAAGAGGGATTTAGCTCAAGTTCCTTCAGTTTGGGTCAAAGCAGGTTTGTGTGATGCTGGAG